AGGGTCGGTCCACGAATTATATTGCTTGAAAGCCAGCCAGGTAAGCAAAGTTCACGCTCGAAACGTTCTCGTGAGATAACAATTAACTGAGCCGATTGCTCAGTTAATTGTTCAATCTACGAAAACACTGGCAAAAAATAGGCAGTCAATGACGGTATGTGGCTACTGCTGTTATTATTTAGAACATTGCAGTAAAACGAATTATATTGCAATAAAACGAGCTAAACACGAAAACGTTTTTGGACTCTAGCTCATTAAAAACACGTGACTTGTTTCTTGCACCGCGCAAAATATGTCGATCTCCAATGATGTAAAGATAAGACTTTCGGTAACTTGAGTTAAATATCTTACCTCCAAGTTAGTTGGCTTTCTAGTAGGGTGCAGGAAAAAAAAATAACGTGTGAATTTGGAGGCACATTGTGCGGGAGAATTAAACCTTCGATTGTGCGGGGAATTGTGCGGGATTATTAACGAACCAATGTTCTTGCCAAGTCCCAAGGAAAATCTGCACTGACGATAGTTTAGCCAGTTATTTCGCTAGTAGTTCAAACATATTTAGCAGTCTTAATTAGCAATCGCCAATTCTTTTAGAAAACTGTGTCTGACTGCAGAAGAAAATCATGTCGCGTGACATGAACTACAAGAGCATGAAACCAAAATAAATAGCAAAACAGAATGCCGCATCTTCCCTTATAAATGAGAGTCCTTTTTAAAAAATACTTTTGCCTTAATTCAATAAAAATATGTAGCTTGAATATTTCTTCATAAACTGCGTTAACGGTCGCAAATTCTTGGAAGTTATCCGCAAAATACACAACTTGAAAGTTTATGCAAATTATGTGCAATGCAATTTCAGCCTAGTCACAGGACTGTTGTTTTCGCGAAGGAGTTTATCATGATTCGTTTTCGCTCTCTCGAAAGGGATTATTCGCTCTCCAAAGAAGATATGACCCTTGAAAAGGGTTTAAGATCGCAACACGGCAAAGATGTTCAGCTACACAATTTACTCGGATCGCCACGACCAGTAAACAAACTTCGTACAATTTCTGTTAGCATGTACAAAGTAATCGCCATAAGTTGTAAAAAGACCTCGAAAATTCTATGCAAACAACTTCTCCATCAATGCGTAGACAGCTGTGCTTCATTCTTGAACCAAAATGGTTTAAACTCGCAACTTGCGATAGGATGAGGAGGATACTAAACGAAGCAACTTGAATAGTAAATATCTAAGCGGAACTCTTGTGCTAAAATATCCTGATTTTTTAGTTTGCTTTTATTGTGTCCAATACGCGTTTTCGTAAAGTACGATTTGATACTGTTGTCGGATCGAAAAACGTGACAATTGCGTGACGCGAAACGTGACGTTATAGAAACCGGTTTGAACCAGTCGAGTGAGCACGAGGGTAGAGGCAGGGTGAAAAGAAAATGGCGAACAACGTGTGAAATAAAAAGTTAGCCGGTGTCAAGAAATCATGGCGATACTGTGGTACGAGGCCCGAGTAAACGCTCTTAGAGCGTCTAGTCTTAATTATTGTTCCTCGATATGGCATCACTACTTAAAGTCTGATAGCAAGAAACTGAATAGGTTGCATGAAAGAGAACATCGTCGTCTATATATACAGCGATCAGTCTTCTGAGACTGTTTCTCTCACTGATCGTATTGGTTACAGCCTTGAAATTCAAGTGATCCACATCGATTCACAACATTCAAGTGAGTAAACCTAATATTACTCGCTTTGGCTTAATATCAGTAAAATACTCAGCGGCTGTTACTTGGAATAGCATTTCTGACGGCATTTCTGAATAGCATCCTTAAACACAATTTCATCCTCTAAAAAAAAGTCAGCAACCTTAGGTTTAACTGAGTTTATAAGTTTTTAACTATATGTTAGAATTAGTATTATGGTTATAACTTGTGATTGAGTCAATTTTTTTCTTATTTTTCCTTTCTTCCTTTTTTATGAACTTTACTTGAATATTATTTATTTCTTGGCACATTAGCGTACGTTATTGACTTTATTACTTGAGGCCTAATCTGCCATATCAATCCGAGAGTAAATTAACTAAAGTTATGTATGTGTCTGAGGTGTGACCGTGTTCGCAAAAACATGCCCGAAAAGAACTCAAGACAGATCCAAGGACTCCAGGGACCTTGAGCAATCACCTTGTTAGGAATTGACCAGTCATGCATCCACGTGGCACGTGCCTCTCCAGCAGGGCCCTCTGTTAACACAGAACCCTCAAACAACAACAACCTTGGCAAAGTGCCCAGCCGTAAACACTCAAAGCCAACGCTATGTCGCACTGAAAACTCAAGTCTAGCTAAGTGAAGGTGCCACTAAAATTCCCCCTGCTCTTGACAACTGGACGCCAGCAAACCATCGGCAGATAGGCCGGTGTCTGGGTCATGTTATGTATGCAACATTTATGTACCATACTTGAACATTTTACTTATTTTACTTATTTTAGACCCTCTGTGCGCTTTAAATGCCTATGATTTTTGCCCACTCTATTATTCACTTTCTTCAGGTAATACTCATAAAGCACTCGAGGATGTAAACCGCGCAAAAGAAATCGTTCAGACTAATGACACAGGTAAATTTAACTTCTGTCTGATGGTTGTCTTTTTTGTATATACCTCCTTGCTTTTTTGCCAAATATATTTTTTTTGTGTTAGTTTACACGGAATATATTTCGCAAACAAGCCTCCTCAACAAGCACTTGGCAACTTTCTTGATAACTCATCATTTTCGAGATAAAGTCGTCTCTTTGAAGACTGAAAACAAAATAACCCACGGTTGTGATCAAATTTTGTTTTGCTAAAACTAGACTGTTCATACATTATAATTAAGATTAAGAGTCACGATGTATCCTAAACTGAAAAGGCTAATGGAGTTTTGTTGCGTCATTAGTTGAGAAACCGAGCACTTCACTAGAAATGTTTCCTTGGAGTTCTTTTGTGAGAGGTGAGGAAAAATGGCAATATAGTAATGCGTTCGACTATATTTTGAAGTTTGTGGTTTTGAATAAATGGATCATAGGGAATCCTTTTGTCCTATTCGGAATAACCAACATTTTCAGGCCAGTGGTAAAGACTAACGTAAGAAGCAAAATAATTAGTCTGACATTCTACAGCAGAGGACGCGGAATCGAAGGACACCGGGGAAACTAGATAAAGATCCTAGCCAATTACTGGAGAATTACAGCACAGTAACAAAATAGACATGAAAACTCACAAATTGAACACAACTTGTTCTATTTTCTTTTTTATTCTTTTCTTTTTTTTTTTTTTTTTTTCATTGGAGACTTAAGACTATCAAGCAAAAAACTTAGGTTTAAGCATTTTGCCTTTACTCTAGGTTAAAACGTTTATTAAGGAAACGGAGTGAAATTGGAAAATGTCCCTTCGGACCAGACNTTTTTTTTTTTTTTTTTTTTTGGTTTATTATAGTTGTAGCTTTACGCTTCTGTTACATTTCACTTTAGTTGGATTCATTTAACTTCCTATTAGTCTGCAGTTCTGGCAAAAACATTTTATTTTGATTGGTTAAATTTTGACAGGAATCCGGTGTCGTCGATCGTTTTTCAGTCTCTAGGTTTTTCGTTTCTTCTGCCAATTCGGCACTATTTCAATTTCTGACAAAATTGAGGACAACGTGAACAGAAACCTTGAGATTTCCTCAGACAGATCAGATACTAAACTTGGTTGTCACAAGAAAATGTAATGATCTCCTCGTCTCACGAAAAATGTTTCCTTAATTCGCGGTACGGGTTCACGTCATTAGTCGACAAGTTTGCAGGCCGTTTCAAAACTGTCGAGTCGTTAACAATTCAGTTGTAAAGTGTAATCCAGAATAACTTTGGCTTTGCTTGACTACACTCTGTGATTGGTTTGGAAAAAGGGGTGTCACGCGTTTGTTTGACCAATCAGATCCAAAACTAATCGTCACGAGGTTTTCCTGCACTTTGCTCCCCTAACGTGATCTCGTCCGTGTTGATATTGGCTAACTGTTGTGCTAACATTTGATCAGGTCATTCGTTTAGTGATTTGTTTTGTTCCCACGTAAACAGCGCTAGTTTACAATTTCCAAGGGAAGGTTGAGCACGACAAAGGAGAATTCCAAAATGCGTTAAGTTTGTTCACTCAAGGCATTGATGTCAAGTGTAAACATGACGAACTGAACGCCAATCTTTACTTCGCAAGGTCGAACACGCATTGTTCTTTGGGTGAGTCGGTTATCTGTTGTCCACTTTAACTTAGCGAATTAAAATAATTTAAAAGTTCAGAATGTAAATCGTCCATTTTGATTACCGTACATGTTTTAATATTAATTTACTTCTGAGAATTTGGTAATACATCATTTGATGATTTTCGTTATTCCATCACCAGTGTCTGCTCGATTATATATAAATACTGTGATGAGAAATTTGGTCTTCATGACATTGTTTTAACTGAAGTGGCGAGGCGTTAACACCAATTTCACGTCTTCCCTTTTATGAAAATAAATTATTTATTATTGAAGAGAGCTGCAGTGGCTTAATGGAATAATGTTTTATAGACAACAAGCCAGGGTCCTCATGTTGTGTTCTTCCGCTAAACATTTTACATTTGCAGTACCCGTTCCTTACCTCTAGGGGTATGTAAGGATGACCGGGCATTATTCAACAATTTGGCAAACGCTGAAGAGGGATACCCTAAGATGGACAACCTTCCCATTTGGGCCCATCTATAAGCAGTCATGCTCTACACTTTTTGAAGCCACAATACTGTATTGAGGGTCTGGATGGGGGTGTTGGGTGTAGATTTCAGTTTTTAGTTAGTATTGTGTCTATTCGTCAGTTGCAGTTAAATTTTGGGTCATTTGCCAGTTGTCAGTTAAGTGGCTGCATGTTAATAATTTAGAAATGGCCTTCAATGGCTTAAAACTCTCCTAGTTGACCCCTTTTATGGAGAATACAGTCGAACCTCTTCACAACGGCCACCTTGGGTACAAACGATAGTGGCCGTTTAAGAGACGTGGCTGTTTTGGGGAGGTAAGCCAGTGTGCAATATGACACCTGTTTTTACGGGGGTGCAACATTTTTTTAAAAAGAGAAATGCCTGTTTTGACTTATAAATACATAACATATTTTTAAAACATAGCAATAAAACAGATACTAAACAAAAACAGAGACCAACGACGCACCGTAAGTACGGATCAAGTTTGTGACCTTTCCCAATAAAAAATGGTCAGGGACTCTGTATACACTGTTCGTCAGTCGTTGATTAACTGGCCGTTGTCGAGAGGCTATTTTCAATAGACAGCTGGGACGCGTTTTAATGGCCGTTTCCCAGCTGTGGAGAGATGGCTGTTGTAGAGAGGTTGACCCCATCCAGACCCCATTTATGGTTTTTCCCGCCCAGGCGAAATCGGCCTTCTGTGTGTTTTAGATGATTATGATCTTTACCGACGTAGGACTATATTACTCACTTTCTTTAGGGAATTCCCAAGAACAAGTCGAGGATCTAAACCGTGTAGGAGAAATTGCAGGTAAATCAAAGTTCTGTCCGACTGTCTTTTTGTGTGTATATCTTCTTGGTCGTTTCTCAAATTGTCGTTTTTCTTTGTATACCTAGAATATACATACCGAAGAAGCAAGTCGCTCTGCAACTTTAAAACCATACCAATCATTTTCAAGATACACTTGTCGTTTGGAAGAATGAACCAATTCAGCAACATTTGTGATGAATATTTTTCTACGCTCAGGAATGAAAAATCTTCAGAGCAGATTGCTGATAAATTGATAGTAAGGGTCGAGATACATCTTGAACAGCAAAGACTAATTCAGATTTTTGTCGCGTCATTAGATATGAATCCGAGCGTCTTACAAAGAACTGGTCTTGAGCATGATAAATTGAGAGGTAAGAAAATAAACCAATATCAAAATATTGCATTTATTTCGCAGATTTGCAATTTTGGAACTCAGTTAATGGTTAATTACCATCAACTAATTGTGCGAATCGATTATAATTTATTATTATCTAGGCACGAGTGTTTAACTGGAAAATACGCCCCTCGTAAAATTCATGCGAAACCATATGCAGCAATTGAATGGCGTAGAAATTGTGAGCAGTCTCACTTTAAGTCGAAGATCGGCGATGGAAGAACGCAAACCAGGAATAGGAGGGTCGATCAGAGACGCGCGTTGAAACCGCAAGCCGCGAGTAGCACAGGCTTCGGAAGACGAGCAACGCTTGCGCTGCTAGCCGCCCTTCGTTTGCGTTTTTTCTCGCAGATTTCGGGCAAAAGAGGGATTGCTCGCAGTCTACTGAAGTGGGGTATTTTCCATTTCGTCACTTGTGATGATATTGATCACATTATTGACTTTCCCGCTTTTCACGGTTGTTTCCGCCAACAGTCAGTTTGACTATAATAAAAAAAAAATTAGGCGGTGGCTTAGGGATATGAATTTATTTTCTCGTGTTAAAACAGTATTTTACTCAAAAACCGAGCAACTGGAACAATTTCTTAGAGAAAAACATGCAAACATGCATTACACTTTTTTTTACNATATTTTAATTGTATACACATTTTTATTGTTATTCCTCATTTTAAAATAATTTTAATTTTTTGTTGTTGTGTCCCCAATTAGTTGTGAAAGCTAAATACATTGACACATTAATAAAGCTTTTCCTTACTTACTTACAGGCACGAGTGTTTAACTGGAAAATACGCCACTAGTAAAATTCATGCGAAACTACATGCAGCAATTGAATGGCGTATAGACTGTGAGCAGTCTAACTTTAAGTCGAAGATCGGCGATGGAAGAACGCAAACCAGGAACACTGAGGAGGGTCGATCAGAGGCGAGCGTTAAAACCGCAAGTAGCACAGGCTTCGGAAGAGGAGCAACGCTTGCGCTGCTAGCCTCAGTTCGTTTGCGTTTTTCCTCGCCGATTTCGATCAAAAGAGGGATTGCTCGCAGTCTACTGAAGTGGGGTATTTTCCATTTCGTCACTTGTGATGATATTGATCACATTATTTACTTTCCCGCTTTTTCACGGTTGTTTGCGCCAACAGTCAGTTTGACTATAACAAAAAAAAATTAGACGGTGGCTTAGGGATATGAATTTATTTTCTCGTGTTAAAACAGTATTTTACTCAAAAACCGAGCAACTGGAACAATTTCTTAGAGAAAAACATGCAAACATGCATTACACTTTTTTTTACCCACCTCTCAACAACATCGTACATGAATGTGACTAAACTCCAAACACAAAACACGAATAACAGTCATTAGTATAGAGGCAGCGGATGTTCCAGCCAAAACCTCCTCTCAATTTTTAACATAGGCTCAAAGATTTATATGTATTTCCTAGGCGAAAAAGTTAACTGGAAGAAGAGTTACTTAAAAAACCGCAGAGCGTGCTGCGATTTTCTACAGAAAAGTATTGCAAAATAGGAAGCACCAAATCTGTCATAAATAGAAGTTAAAAGTAGAATCGTTGACTCGTCAGTCAGGCGCTTCCTAAGTTTTCAAGAAACGCACAAAGCTAGAAAAGAAAACATGTCGTAAATGTTACTAAACTCTATAGAGGAAGACTTGCAGAAATCCTTACAAGATATGATATGCAAATTAATATTAAGGTCAAATAACCTGTGAAACGGCGAACATATACCAAAGACGTCAGAGGAAACAGAACTAAATGCCAGCCAGTTGCTAGAAAAATTACATATATGTTATTTGCCGGATGGGAGGTCCGTATAGTGAAAAACTGTGACCGAGGTCTTGAAAATGCTGCCCGACGCCGCAGGCCGTGGGCAGCATTTTCAAGCCCGAGGTCACTACACGGACCCACCCTAAGCCGGCAAATAACATGTTTATTTTTTTTCCTGTAGCAAATTGATTTTGCAGATTACAAATTGGTTTGTTTAAGCAGCTTTGTCATTGAATCGGCTTGCGCGCCGTCTACTAACGATTTGCAAAAAACTCTTCGCAACGAGGGAGTAACTCAGATTGTAGACAAGGAAAAATGTATTAAAGTAGAGGTTTTTTTTCGAACTACTTTATGTTTGAGACATTTATTTCACCAGTTAAGTTCCCCAAAATTGTTCTTGCAGTGTGAAATTTCGTGCGAAGTTTGAACCTTTACTACAAAAACAATTTCTGTCAGTCGTTGCTATTAAAATCACTTGAAATCAGACTTTTCTACCGTAAATTGAATAGCAGAAAGCGAGAAAATTCGCTAAGTGTATTCCACAGAAATTCTCCTAAATACAGCAACAATCAGAGAGGTAAAATCGACTGAAATTGACTCAAATTTTAAGGCAAGAGAAACACAGAATTACGCGCCATTACAGCGCCAAGCTACAAACAACCAAGCAAACTCTCACAACTTCAAAACACTCAATTGAACTTACTTACAGTAACTTTCCTTGCCATTTTAAAGTGAACAGATATAAGCTTGCGTTGACTAATCGTCGAGGGATGTGTAAAAAAGGCAAAAGAATGACGATTACCACTAACTTTTAGGAGCAAAATTTATGCAGCGGGGAAAAAATCTGGCCCGTGGGCCGTATCGTAAAATGCTGGACCAGTGACGTGCGTATGATTGGCCAATCAAATTCGAGAATTTAGAATTCCGGCCCGCTCAGATGCTTGAGAAAAAAATAAAGTACAGTATGTACTAAACGAAACATGAACACTGACTAAAAATATAAAGAAAACTTTTTTTTTTTATTTAGGTTGTTTCAAACAACGTGTCAAATTAAAGACATCAAACTAGAAAGCTAAACAAGTGTTACAGCTATGACATCAACAAGAAAAGTTGACCGCAGTCTAAGGGCGTGATCCATTGAACCAAAAATTTCAGGGCTGTCTGAGGTTTAAAAGTTTCTTGGCGGCGAATAGATTGCAACGCGTACGGACGGTCTCGAAGCAGCTGCCAACCTGTTGTAAGTGCACGTGGATGTACGAGTAACACTGATAAAAACGCTGTTAACAATCCACAAAATCTGCACTGATAAGTGTTTTCCTCCATGTTGAACATAGAAAGTATACCACCTGAATGGGTCGGTCAAATGAAATGCTCAATTTTCGATCGGACCGGGCCAACCGAGAAAGGGTCCACGCGAAATTTGGATCGGCTTTTTCGAAACTTTTCTGGTTGGACCGAATTGATCCATTCAGTTTTAGTCTGAGATTTCCGGAAATCTTGGTTGAATGGATCGCGCCCTAGATTTTAAAATCTAGGCCGGCATCTAGATCGCTCTACCTTTTACTCTCGCCGTGAGAAAATTGGTAAAAAAAAAAACTAAAAAAGTCATTTGGCTTGCAGTTCTACTAAAACTACTAAATGGAATTAAGCCTAAAGACAAAGAGAAAAAAGGAGAATAAAAGAGCAAGCAAACTTTGGTAAATTAAAATTCAAGTCAGGCAATGAAAACACCAGCTGAAATACGAAACTGAGACCCTTTTTCAAGGCCAGACGTATAAAGTGTTCAATACAAAACTTAGCGAATTAAACGCCCCAACGAAATTTTGTTAGTCAATAAAAGAGGCTAGAGAAATTGAAAAATTCCTGTCAGTGAGTTCGACCTTCTTCTGAGCAAAGTTTTCATCCATATCCGGAAGCAAAATGACAGTGATTACAAACTGGCTACCTGAACGGTCTTCAGCGAAGTTAAATTTTCTGGTTTAACCGTACCATATAATGAACATCTTTTTAACCGAGCTTGGTCGGTCTGTATGGGGGAATCTTGACCTCGGTCATGCGTACAGAGCGAACGCAGTGAGCTTTGTACTCACGACGTCGGTCAATATTTTTCCATACAAATCTCCCATTCGGTAATAAGAACGAAATAATAAACAGAACAACAGCGGGATCAGTGGCTGTTACCAAGGCGTTCACTCAGTGCCACGCTTTTATTTACTTATTTTTCCTTTTTTAAAAAAACTTTCATTAGGATGAATTACATGCAAGGTAGGTGAAATCTCTGACAGTATCTGGTGTCATCGGTCGTAGGTTCTTATGTCTCCAGATCTTTTGTTATTTTGTGCAATTTCTGTCGATCTTCAGTTCCCGGCAAAAACTCTGATAAATGTAAAAAGAGCTTGTGATTTCTACAAACAGATCGGTTGCTTTCCAAAGGCAAGAAAAGAAAACTGTGATTGCATTCTCTTAAGCTCAAAAACTGATGTTTAAAATTTCCGCTAATAACTCCTCAATACGCTTTTTGATTCTCACAGTAGTCGCACATTATGTCGAAGGAACAATCCAGATGACGAAAAATGACTTAAGAAATGCGTTAAGTTGCTTCACTGAAGGGATTGAGGTGAAGTGCAAAGATGACTATTGGAACTTCAAGCTTTACAGGGATAGGTTGCAGACTCATCGGCAACTAGGTGAGTTCAGACTGCATATTTGTTTTCCGTTGTAGCTTAGTGAGTTGAAATATCTAACTTCAGATTGTAAAAACTAAAAATGTACATTTTGATTGTCATAAATTTCTTTCTTCGTTACTGAGTCCTGGTCATTTGTTCATACACCACTTGATGATTTCAGTTATTTCAACCACACGCCTGGGTAATTAAAAATCAATATTATAAGAAAAATTAGGTCTTCATCACTTCTTTCAACTTAAGTGGCGAGAAGTTAAGACGAAATCCGAAAGAAAATC